GCAGACAGAATCATTTGTATGACTTGTGTCTGCTGCAGACAGAATCATTTTATATATATGTGCTATTTTATTTATTAATAAACACTATTCTCAGCACCAACAATCTAGGTTGCCCTTGACGCTGACGAGTCATGCGTCCCTCAACGTCCGGTGGTATTTATGGTTACGTGATTCATGCATAGCCTCTTCAGCCTGTCTGTCCTGACGTGTAAAATTTAACTGTAAAATTTAGTTGATAGTGCAGTGATATAGACGGGGCGCCTCGTGTTAGTAATGAATTCTGTTATGATCATGAAGTGTTTTCTTGATGGAATATTTGAACAATCTTCAGTTAAGAAACTTTTCTTTTGTCTGACTATGGATCCGCTATATCAAGGATTCGGTAAGCTGCAGTATAAATAGGTATAGTTGGTTTAAGCCAAAATACATTTGTTTGCCAATTAAATGGGTTTTCTTAATTGAAAACTCTGACAAATGGAAATGGTGCCTAAAGAACATAGTGTTTCTTTCTATTTAGTCAAAGTGCTGAAATATCGACTTTATGATTACGACCCTAGCGTTTATTCAGAACTTTGAGCGAAGATAGATAGCTTTAGTGGAACTCAAATTAGATAAATATATGCTCAATGTATGTAAATATGTTTGTTGGATAACATGGTATATTATTGATAACATGGTATATTATTAGGGATATCTAGGCATGAGATTGTGGCCAGTAATGGGTAAAGATATATAAAACTGCCATTTGATCGAACTTCAACATAAATGATTGCGCATCTAAGTAGTGCTTATTAGACTATTATTGCTCGCTGTCACGTATAAAAATTAATATTCATCTGTAATTTCCTTAATTTAGTAGGTGTGCTGTTTGTCGGGCCACTTAAAGTAGCTACATTAGGTAAACAGTTTCTTTTACTGGTCACTTGAAGCTCCGGGAAGATATGTGCGCGAGACAAAGCTGACAGGTGAAATATTTTTCCCTTTGAGAAAAAAAAGCTTTCTTTTTCCAATAAAACAAAATGGTAATTGGTCGGTCGTAAACATGTAACAACCACTAGCGTCGTCGCCTCTGATATAGTATCAAATGGATACATGTATATCTCTGTGCAAATTGTGTTGCGTGAAAGTGTGCTGAACATGTGTATAATTACAAAACATGTGCGAAGTATTTTCGTGTTTTTATCATTCTTTTGATATTTTATAGTACACGAGTCACCGTCGCCTACGCAGGTAGCGACAGTAAATGTTATTATAGTCAAGTTCCTTGCGAATCATATTAACAAACTTCGAATATATTCAATGTAAGTGTATGTAAAAAAAAAAGCTTAGAGCAACTAATTCCTTCATAATTTTCCTGTTCGTTTCACTATGGACTTTATAGTGTTGTAGAGCTTCTCTGCTGTCTATAACTATACAACAATCTGTCTGCGATTCCGGCCGCGTCTGCCATTCTTAGCCGTTGTCGGCATTTCTGATGATGTCGCGTAGTGTCAGCCGCAGCCGATCTCCATCGAAGTGCTCCTCAGTCAGCTCGCACAAGCGAAAGCGAGACCGCGGCGACAGGGAGCGTGAACGAGGTCGAGAGAGAGGTCGCGAACGCGAGGGTCGCGATAGCTCAAGAGATAGGTCGTCCAGACGCCACAAGAAGTCCAGCCACAAGGAGTCGCGACATGGAAAATTGTCGAAGCGACGTCACGAAGATGTGCCACGGGCGTACCGTCAAAGTCGCAGCGCTTCAACGAGCTGCGGTAGAAGTTCCAGTTCAGACAACAATAACGATGACGAGAAAGGAAAGGACAGAGACAGAGATCGAGACAGAGAAAAAGAAAAGACCTCAGTCGAACAGCCGCCTACCAAGAAGAAGCCTCGCAAAGAGGCGACGCCTGAGGTAAATAGTTGTGCTTTCGTAAGGACGCATTGCTTACTTTTTTTAACATGTTAAATTATGTTATTATTATGTAGTTAATGTTATGTAAAGAGCGAAGAAATGCTTTTTGACCTTATGCCTACCGTATGGCTGTCTGATTCGTTCAATGCATGGATTTTCGTCGTTACTTACAGCTGGATCCATTTGAAGTACGCCGGCGTGAGCTGATGCGCGAGAAGGAAATTACAGCAGAAGTTGAAAGGCGTTTGGCCGAAATCTTGCCGCAAAAAGTTGAAGAAGAAATGGAATTGCGGAGAGAAAAGATGCGGCAGGACATTCGACTTGAAATGGAAGAACAGGCCAAAAGGAATTCTGAGGAGCTGCGACTTGAGAACCAGTTGCTCAAAGAGGTATGACACGAAGAAGTTAACTACTGAGGATTGTCAGAAATATGACATATGAAAATAAGTTGACTTGCGATGCGCCAATCAATGTTGTACGAGCGTAGAATTGATGTAGTCTCTGTACAGCTGAGATTGACTGATATCTGTATGATATTCTATGTGATAAAAGCGATGCGGCTTTCTATATCATCATCTAACAGTGAAAAGAAAGAAGTGACTTATTCGTTTAAGGCGCTTTCAAAATCATGCTTAGGCTGCCCCCTGTCCCTGAAGTTTTTGACGGTTTTGAACAGTGTATAAATAATATACATCGTATCGATCTTCCCACTGTGAAATCCCCCATCCAATCAGTATAAGGAAATTACTGTCGTGACCTCACTAACGATATCGAATATCTTTGCCTCTGCGTATTACCCAAGCCGCTTCGAAGCAAAAGTATTGCGTAGTATGTAAAGTGCCTTCCTCATTGTTATTGTAGTTGTTACCCTAATGTATGCGCCAAACGAACAGTCAAACGATTGAATGAGTGCTGACGTTTCTCTCCACGACAGGATTGTGTGAATGGCAAGTTCGTCATAGATCCGCTCTTCTTCGCTAGATTCGATCTTCTTCTCCATCTCAGAAAGTCCTGAGAAAATATCAGCCCCGAGTAACCTCTGAAACCACTCGGCAAGCACCGATACAGCACAACTACGCCACTGGGATCGAAAACGACTATGGAGAGATTTCTCCATTGCTCTCTCTCTCTCTCTCTGAATGTTGCTTCGCCCTGGTTCCTTAATGAATCCATCGCTTCGGCAAAACTGAAGCGCAAACTCAACCCGCATGCAATGCTCACTCTCAGCCTCGATTGATGCTAAAACCTGAGATTCTGAAGCTACTTATGAGATTCAGAATAATCTCGCGTTGATCGTCAGGCTTTTCTTCCTAGTCTTGGCGGCAGTGTGAGGCCCATGATCGGCATGTCGGGAATCAAACGTGTTACACGTTCATCCACCCTAACTTTTGTGTTCTAGTTTGTTCAAACAACCTTACACAGACAGCAAACGGCAGGCTGTCAGCTTTGTGGTGCTCCCTGGTTTTAGCTGTTTTGGGTCGGGTGGGCCACGGGACATTCTGTTGGCAGGGATTTGGCTGTGTGGTGGCATGTGTAGTAAAATCTATCTTTTTAGGCCGGTGCTGTTCTCTCTGGGCGGTGCTGTCTTTATATCACACTCTGACAAACTGACCATGTTCGCCGCACGGTTATCGAGAAAGAAAATGAGAACATTAACATCAACAATCAGACAGATTGGATTTGATTGGTTGCTTACGGACACTGATGATGAGTATTGTTCCGGATGAGAAAGGACCTATCGCTCTAGTCGCTCGCATTCTTATGAAGCATCATTCAGGTATGTAGACAGAGAAAAAGAGAAAGAAAGACACTCAGAAAGAGACAGGCCGGAAGTTCCGATGCCGAGAGGTCCCCAGCACACACATACGGCCTAGACGAGCACACAATCCGTCTGGGCCGCGACACCAACCCGTAAGTACCGCTAACCAATTACAATGCGACCCAAAAAGACCATCCCAACATGAGTAACGTATGAACAACGAGTAACTACGAAGTAAGCAAAACAGCACAACAATGCAAAGCAACAACACCCAACCCGATCATCCGATCATTCAGCTACTGCAAGCACCAGCTGTGACGCCAGCGGTGGCAGTGGTTCAAATTAACAAGCAGCAACAGCTGATTTCGCCCTAGTCGGAGTCGAGACCTCGGTTTCGGTTTCGAGCGGGGCGAAGAAACCTGGAAGGTTAGAAAACTAGAAAAACACGTGGTGTTGTGCAAATTGTTGTGCGAACTCGAGCCACGGGAATAACGTATCGACCTTCACAGGAGATGAAGACGAAGCTAGAGGAGTCCCAGAAGGAACTGGATGAAGCCCGCGAACAGCTTCAGGCGCTGCGGGAGCAGACTGACGAAAGCGTCCACAAAGTGGCCGAAGACAGGTTTGTACAGCTTAGCTTATAATATTTAACTACCAAAACATGCCCTCGAATCAACAAATGGTGCATTTATCTGTGAAATTATGTATAATAACATTATATTTTTCTTTTTCCGGGTATGTTGGCCTGCTAAGTTAATTGGGCATGATTAATACTATTAAATTTCGTTTTTGAATATTTCATTCACTTAGGTTGAAACTCCTCGAGGAGCGCCGAAAGCTGGATGAAGATCGAATGGCCCTCGAGCAGGAGAAACGGGAACGGAAGAAAGCTGAACAACATCTGATCCTTAACAAAACTGGCAAAGCGCGACCTAAGCTAGCGTTCTCTTTCAAGTAGCGGCAGCATCAACTACAATAAGTAGGTTTTAGAAGGTAATATGACCTTAGAATCAAAGCCTTTTTTTTGAAACAGTTTGTAGATTTGCCTAAAAACTAGAAATTTTTAGAACGCTATAATTGGTCGTTAGCGTACTTCAATCTATACTTTATCCTATGTTGATGAAAAAGATATGGCGGGATTTGTTTGTGCACACAGACACGCCATAATTACGTGTTTGTTATTTGGGTGACTTTTCAGGTGAGCTTCATAGTAATGCTGTAATTAAGATGTATATATTTCGCACAGCTGCTAGTGGGGTTTACGTGTTAATTGTTCATTTCCTGACTATGCACTGTAGAATACATGTTTATTTAACTAAACGCGTAAATTCCGATAGCCGTCAGTGGCGATGCTTCGTGTGGGTATCCATTGTACTAATAAAACGCAATAGGAAATGTAATAATGTTTTCAATCTTCCAATAGAAGAGCGAAAAATTTCCTTCATGATGATGTCTGTGAAAACAGGAACCTTTATAGTCAGCTTTTAGATAAATATTGCTTAAAAAGTAAAGTTATGTAAATTTAGTAACTGAGTAAAATATAGTGAGTAGTTACGTTTAAAGCCGTCAGTTGTATCGGTCCTAACACTTCGGTAAAATTGAAGTGGATGCAGGAATTAAATGAATTAAGAAATTTTAAAAAAAATCGAAATGTTAGGCTTATTCAACATATATATATATTTACTACAGATATAGTAAAAAAATACGATATCGGAATAATGCAGAAAAAGCAGCCGAGAAATGTCTTAGTTCTTATGTACCCTTTAATTTCTAAATTAATTCTATATTTTTTTTGTGCATATCCTAAAATTGCTATTATGGAACGAAAAAAATATACTTTTAAGTATATTGGCCTTTTTCGATTATTTGCTATTAGGAAATAGTGTATTCAATCGTCTTACGCGGAGAAATTTCTTTTATTTGGCGTTTGCTGTATATTATTACGAAACTCTTTCAACAACAGATTTCAAATAGGCATACAAACTTTTTGATTACAAGCGCATAACTCGGAGCTGTCTGTCAGTATGTTTGACAGGGTAAAATGGGGAAGATAAAACAAAGCATGGATACAGCTTTGAAGGAACCGCAATTTGAGTACTATGGACGCCAGGTTAGGTTTCGTAACCAGCAGGCATGCATTGGAATTACCTATAGATGACTGACTTAAATATTAGACCGTTGCGTAACCTGATTGTGTTACCACCTACCTTGCTCAAATGAGGTTCGTCCATATCTTCCTTACGCGTAAGCTCATTTTTTAGTGTTTAGGATCATTTCTCGTTTTAAAATAGGAGTGGTAATTAAATCAGATGTTCTTTAAGTAAAGGTTCACAAAATATACGCATGATTTTTTATTACATTTTCCATTTTTATCGTGCTTAAGTCAACAATATCCTATTGTACATTTTGTTGAATTGCAGTTGAGTTTCCTATCTTTAAGTTAATAACGCTTACTTAGTAGGTTACATTTAATGATGGGTCATTACTAGTACCAGTTTGAGTTAACCTCTAATGCAAAATTTCTCGCTGTACTTGGACCGTTGCCTGTCTGGGCCGAGCGAAAAGTACAGGACTTTCCATTGTGTGGGCAGTTTTAGTTCATTCGGGAAACGGAATGTTACCCTGGAACCAGCGTTGTAGAGGTATACGCGTTGTCCAAAGGAGAAATAATCAATAAAATGTGAAGATGCGGTGATTAATGGATAGCAGGGTTTTTTCCACTAGATCAACCTCAGTAACATTTTGTTGGCGCACGAACGTAGAATACGCTATACTTAGAATTTCAAATGACCCATTTAATAAAATGTTTGGAAAGTTTTTTTATAAGGTTAAGTGTCAAACCACAAACAGGTCCGATTTATTTCTAATTTATATGCACATTCTCTCAGCATACCTTTCCATCGTTTAATTGATTTTTACCAGAACGCGTTATCTCCTCCTAACGTAACGACAAGATACCGAGAAACAAAACAGCAACAACAAAGGGTTTATATGAACAGAACATTTTTGAAGAACGAGGCTTACTCGCGAAGAGCACATTCTGTGAAATATTGCTCAGGGCACCGAAAGGTTGAAATGTCAAAGGAACGGTTCATTAAATTAGAAACATTATTGATCGACTTATTGAAATATGTAAAGAACATGTCCTGACTGACCAAAGCTGCTAAAATACGATGGAAAAAGTTGTCGTTAAGGTTCTTTGCTTTTTGGTAAGTGAATGGGTACTCGACATATAGTATCTGCGAAATAATAATATAATACTAGGCAATCCTTGGGACAGCTATCGTATCAAGTACATTTAGCTAAGGAAAGAATTAATCATTGAATTGGCCCCTAAACGATGCCACTGATTGCATTAAATTTTATAATTGATTATCTGACCATAATCCTGTTATAATATTTCGAGTTATTTAATATGTCAGTTTAGTCACAGAAAACGATAGATAGTCACGATACACTTGCTACACGTACACGACTGTGACTTTTAACGTGCAGTTTCTAGGCTACAATAGATAACAGAAAAATTGGTATTTGCTTTGTATATTGGCAGAAAAGCCAGACATTACGTGGGTACAGCGCTGACACAGGGAATTGCAGGTTTTAACTCGGCATTTTTCATGTACACAGCTAGTATGTACGAAGATAAGAAGGTAAGAGCTATCTTTATCAGTGGGGTTTAAACTATGACCAGGGACTATAGGCACGCAGCTCAGCATGGTGCATACACGCTTCGGTCAGTAGGCGATTGCAGCAAGATCTGCTCATGCTTAAATTAACCTTCGCTTTTTATTGGCAGCTAAAAATAAGCAAAAGTACATTTGGCTATTTGATCCATTCAAAAATTTATGATGGGAAAAATTCACAGTTCCAGAAGATGACGAGTACAATCACGCAAGGCTTAACATGAATTACCATTTAACGAAAAAACCTTAAATACATTTGAATCTGTATTTTCGTTAGGTATGGGCGACTAAGTAGACTTCAAATCGAAGTAGTAATATGCATTTACCTAAAAAATCTACTGCTAGCCCCAATATATTCGTTAAGATTTTAAGGAAGATTTATTGGGAGACTATCCTTTGCTCGACTTATTCAGACCAATATTGTGACTAGTCACAGTATTAGTCTAGACATAGTTCCATTATTGCCTACCAAACCTCAGTTCAATACATCTATGCTCACAAGTGATCTGCCTGCCGTTTTTTTACTTTGTTTGTTGGAACTTTCTCTTAAGCTAGCTACTTTGTCTTTGTATCATTGCCATAACTAATGTGTACGATGCTGTCAGAATAATTAAGAAAAGTTTTAATAAAAATTCTTGTCCCCGGCGTTGTAGATTTTTTTTGGTAGTGTTTGATTAGAGCTAAAGATGTATGAAAAATAAAAGGAAAATTGGCTATTTCGTTTCACCCTAAAGGAATGCCCGAAGTAAGATGGAGGCACCCCGGTAGTGGCCCAAGTTACTGAAGTTCGGACTTCTAGTGGCCGTAGGTACTACAATATCAAAGAAATACATTAGACGTAAGGCTTAAATTTGCGACCGGATATTTAGTCTTTAACCTTCCAAACAAAACTGCGAAGAAAATAATTAGTATAAGTAAAAGTAAATAATATTCCATATGTAAGTATTCTCATGTTATTTGAACTTGTACGTATTTTTCGGCGTTTTTCCTTTCAGTACTTATATTTCTCGATCATTATATTTAACAAGCGAAGTTGTTAATGCTAGATGTTTGTTTTTGAGGCGTGGGTGAATACGCATACGCAAATAAGTGGAACCTGTATCGCTAATGCGTAAAAATTTTTATAGCGCTTGTCATTTAACAGGTTTGATAAGTTCCAGAACTGCATACTGGACGTAATCGTTATAAATGTCCATCACAGAGCGTAGAATACGGCGAAAGCATCGTACAGACCATGTCTGGGAACGTAGTGTCAACAGCTTATAGATTGTATCAGTGTGGCTCTGAAGTATGTACGGAATATATTGCTTGATATTTTGTCGAACCTCTTATCAGTGCATCTGGCCCTGTCGACTAGTACGGTGACGTCTGTCATAAATGTAACATTTACTTAGGAAAGAAATGAACGCTATAATACTGTCGTCTTACTGAATTGGTTAAACATAACGAAGTCCAACATGAGTAGGTACAAGCGTACAAGGTACGTGAGTGTTAGCAAGCATGTGATATATGATGGTAAACGATTTGTTAATTGTAATAATTTTAATCATCCTTTATGGACCCACACTTTATATACGGTACATGGTAGCTAACATTTGATGCCGCCCAAGGTTGTCTTTACAGAACTCACCTCGTACGCCATTGACGCCATAGTTCTGCATTCTTTTCTGTTGATAGTTACAAAACAGTTTCTCATCAAAATAGTGCCCCCACTTTAGCGTAGGTAACCACATGGTCTGATCTACAATCGATAGCTAATTAACTACAAACTCGAATTTTTAGCTGAAGTTTAGTATACGATTTCAAAAAAAAGAAAGACAAAAGTAGTCTTTCTGTTGCTTCCTGCCCGAGAGCACGTAGAGTTCATCCCTGTTTCTTCGCCTCTGACGTTCCTTCTACCAAACATGAAAAGGAAATAATTTCGTCTTCCGCCTCCCCCTCCCTCTGTCGCGTACTCTTCTGTTACTATTTCTCGTGCAATTGAGGTAGTTGGCAAGACGGTTACAGTCGTCTCAAATAATCACAAATTGTTACTCCCCAAACGCTAGGTTCCTTTCGTTCGTTCTGCGGTTCCCTTGTGATGCACTCGTCGTTGTGAGTCTCGTTTTTGTAATGGAGACAGCGTTTTGCACTTCCTGGATACTCAAATCAGAGACTATCCCTTGAATTTACCAGTGCTTCAATGGCGTCACGTAACGGATGGCTTCAATTCAGGTGTCCCCACACGTTTATGAGAAAAGAGGGCTGTAGGGCAACAATGCTTTGGCAGGCAAATAGGGGTGAGTGGTCAGACATCAAGGCGTATAAGGCAGCTTCTGAACTTCAGTAGCGGTCATTTTGATGGTTACTAGGTTCTTATCTATGGTTTCAACAGAGACGAATGATACCGAATGTGAGCTGGCTCAAATTCACAGCGAGTTAAAAGCAGATAAGCAACTTAGGAAGAACTTTGCACGGAACTGCTTAACGGAAGCGCATCGTACGCCGGTGCCAACAATGGAAAAAATCGGCATGGATGACATGTTTTGAATACGCACGCATGGCTTTGTCGTCCGAAAGAACTGCGGACACGAGAGAAACGCACATAAAAAGCATTTCTAGACCACGGATAGAAAATATTCAGTAATATGTATAAATCAGTGAAAATGTATGAGGTAATGACACTGGTTTGGTACATAGAATTAAACCAAATAGAAATGGTAAAGTGTCAACTATATTATATAAGAT